TGAATCAAATTTCTTGCCTTTTCACTTTTACAACAATCTAGTAAACTTAATTATTCCCCTGTGGTTAATCCAAAACCTTCAGAGGTATTGTATAATAAATACCTTGTCCCCATTTAAAACGATTATAAATGGCCATAAATGGTCAGAATAATTAGTGGGAAAACTGAAATGGCACAATTATAGGTTAATCTTCATTAAAACATTTTCCACTACGTTCTAACAATATAAAACATAAAAATATTGGACTGGAGAAAACAATAAAAACTTTTATGTCAAAGAATTTAAACGAAGCTATTCCCATGCAATACTTGTCCTTTGGATTATCCCATCATTTTGAGGATTACAATAAAAGTTCAAGATCCCGTATTTTACGTCCATTATTGATTATCGTACAACATTTTTAGTTTCCTACTTAGATTTCGAAAAATTAACTTCCATTAGTAACTTTATAAATATACATGGCCTATTTTAGTAGGCACTGAACTCAATAAAAAATATGGAAGCCACGATCGATGAAATGAATCCAGGGTTGTTTTTTTCATGTGCTATGGATTTGGCTGGATTTTTATTTAAGTTTACTGAGCTATCCAAAATGTATGTTATACTACTATCATTTTATACTAAATCATGTAATAAGTAGGTTTAGTTATTTCAGAACTATGGCAATCGCCAACGAGTATTAAAAAATTACTCATAAATATATCTTACGGCAAAATAGTTATACACGGAACAGAATAGATTAATGGTATATAAATATTAACACGTCTCAAAAATAAAAATGTTCTCCCAAAAGAAACTTTTTAGCTTACCCATCTGTATCTTAGTGACTGTTGTTTTCACAAACAGACTGATACTTGTTAAGACCAATCTTAGCAAACATTTGTGAGCATAAATCAGATGAATAAGGTCTGATATTTGAGATAAAATAGAAATTTTTTCACTTAAATTTACCAAAATATCTATTAACAGCTAATAATCACTATATAAAAAAATCATCCAAACAGTTTACAAAAATTTCCAACCATAGCAGTGTCAAATGTAATCCGTTAAACAAATTTACTAAGGCTGCATTCTTATAGCAACAAGTTATTAAATAGTGATTTTTCTCAAGCTTCAACCTGAATGTGCTGTCAACAATCTTGATGCATGACATTAATCTACAATGTATTATACCGTGAACTGGATTGTGAAAATAGAATATTTTAATAATGTGATTCATGGGTCGATATAAGCTAGACCATCATTGAAAACCTGGAAGCAGTGTGCTGCCGTTTTGTCCAAGCATGAGACTCCTTAGCAGTGCTCATCCACGATCCCTGCGCTCGAATCCCTCATGCAGGATCGTGGGGTCGCACTGCTGAAGAGTCCCATACTGGGACGAAACGGCTGTCCAGTGCTTCCAGGTTTTCAATGGTGGTCTAGCTTACATCGACTCATGAATCCAACTATTAAAATCACTACAATCTCCACAAACCTCCATTCTAAAAATGAAATATCACTGAAGTGTTATAGATTGTCAACATAACATCAAACAACCTTGTTCGTCAGTTCTACAATCTGCTTAATTGTTTAAACTACTTCCGAAGTGTAAGATTGTCTTAGCATTCGAAATGGCATTAACTACCTTCCTAACAAGCTATCCACGAATCTTAATTATTTATAGCGTGGATCAGTTAGTGTTTTTCAAAAGCCAAAAATCACGTTTGGGAAGGCTTTCTTTTAATATACTATACTATAATTTAGCTTATTGAAAAGAATTAATTTATTTTAACCTTTAAATCAATGATTTTCTATTATATTCATGACATGACAAATTGTACTGTCGTTATAAAATACATTTACTATACCATCTGTCTTGTCATATTCATGTAAACCTAGATGATTTAGAAAGTCCAATAAAAAACTTTCGTTAGTTGTTTGAAAATAAAAGTTTTCTTGAAAATCCACTTCATTATTATTCTGAAGCGTCTTCACGTTTTAATAGGTTCCGACAGTTCTGACGTCATATTTAAAATTTATGTTTTGGTCTTGTGTTTATTTTTACTAATTAATTTGTACTTTTTCAACGGTAATTAGTTATTATTGTCCACCGACAATGTTCAACAGTTAATATTCAACTATCAGTATGACCTTTACGTTTGTTAAGTGAACAGTCGTCTATCATACTGAAATGTAAATTATTTTCAGTCTCCTATCCTTCTCTAACACCCTGATCATTGCACAACCTTCTTTTGATATATGAAACCTCGGATCACTCTATGATGTAATCTCTCGTATTTATATACTCATATATTCATAAAAAACTGCTGTCTTCGATTTCACAGTAAGTTCTGTTTTCACTTCTTCCTACAACGTTTTTCGTGACTCAGCTAATTTAGTTTAAGAATCCATTTCATACTATAGTACAGATACACCAATTATAATGATGGTAACTCAATGGTACATACAGTACACATTCGAATGAAAAGTTAGTAAAATAGGACAGTGTTTTTCACTTTATGACATAAAGAATTTTACAAAAAAAGTGGCAGAGCGATTAATGTACATTAGAAAGGTCTATTTATTAGTTGTGTGATTACATCACGTTGCATCATAAAAAACAATTTGGCTTCACAATATTTGATCGACTTATTGTAAATTCACAGTTCTCGTAAAGTTTGGTTATTCAAGTTGAAAAGTATTTAAAAACCCAATCACTTTCCCATCATGGAAACGGTGATGAATAATACGATAGTATCTTTTAAAAGCTCCAAATGGAGGTTACACACAAAAAGTATAGATATGAAGAAAATTTCTATCGAGGCAATGAAATCTATTATGGAACTGCTACAGAATTATGAAGTAAAAGTGTTTGTTACGTGGTCGTAAACAGAATAAATTCCTTTACAGAAAAAGAATTCTGACTCCTCACACAAAATGATGCATACGTAGCCCTTTAGTTTTAAAGTCATTTTACCAATTTAGGTGTTTAATGAACACTGATTATTCTTTTCAGTATTTATTGTAGTTGATAATCCACTGAAAATTTTGAGTTCAGACTACATTGTTAATTGCAAGACGTATATTGAATGCGGTGCTATTTCTTCAACATACTTGTCAGTGAGATAAAACCACTGATATTTTACAGATTAGTCCCATTTTTTTCTCAAGTTGGTTATTAACGTGTGTTAGTTGCATGTGTTAGTGTGTTTTCGTAACAGTTCTTTTATTAACCAGAGATATGAAATCTTGATTAAGAGATTTACTAATCGGTAAGGTTTTTTCTATAGAATGTAATCGAATAGTTTACCGAAATCTGTGCTAATTGATTTAAACTGTCATGTTAAATATACATGATTACAAAGTAGGAAGTGGAAATCTGACCTAGTGATTAGTTAACTCATATAAATGCTGCAGTATTCAAAAACCAGAAAGTTAGCAGGAAGAAATAATTGATTTTTGTTACTTGTAGCCGTTAGTTCTCAGTTTATTTCTTCACGGAAATAATTTTTATATATTTTTAAAAATGTCATAGGGTTAATACAAAATTGAGACGTCTGACAGTCCGTAGTAAATTACTGAAACCAGTTAATATGAACTCTTCAAATGTTAAGTATTGGCATAAATACCAATGTCAGTTTAAGAAAGAATGTAGATTTAGCTTATTTATGCTGGTTTTAGTTGACTGATGTTAGTTAGAAAGACACCCAAAACCAAGGCTTGTACCCCAGTGTTTAGAATCTCTTAACGTATGCATAAATTTTTCAGTCTTAAAACCCTATACATCCCATTCGCACTACATTCTTTTTACGTGTCTTAGTCAAGTACTTATTCAATCATGGTCAGTGCTTTCGATTACAAAATGAATATGATGAATACCAGGATTGAACAAATTAAGATTATTGCTTTTTCCACTAATTAATTTGATACGTTGAATACGTTTTTTTCACAGAACAACGTTCAATACAATGTACAGTCATCAAATCAAACATAAATCTGATCAAAATAATGTTAATATAAGCAAAAGCACCATTAAAATCTCTGTGAGTTAATGCGTCAGTAATTCACAGTTATGATAGTGGGATATCCAGATTACTATAAACTTCATATGTAACATTAATTTTTGTTAAAAATAAATGGCGTATTGACAGTTTGTTTGGCAAATTTGCTGTTCAACATAAACTTAGGATTTAGGAACATCTTGATGTGCTTCAAAGAAAACTATTACATTGAAATTTATGAAGTGAATCAGGTGTCTTATAACTAAGTTTCGGTTGAACGGCTGGCTATTTACTCATACACTTTGACTGAAAGTATGTTTCATTAGTAAACATATACTTTATAAAATCATGCATTTAAAATCTTGAGACTAATGTTTTATATTTTGAAATTCTAGAGCTGTTGAAGATAAACTGAGTGTCTCCTTGAAAATCAGAAGGAGCTTTCGATCTTGTTAGGAAAACATTTGTTGTACAACTGATATTTTTACGAACTCAATTACAAAATGGCTTATTGATAATTCTAGGAAAATTGTAAATTATTCAACTTCATATTGTTTTAAACGGTAAACCAGTCTCTTTAGCACTTCATCTCTGTTTATTGTCACAAATGATCTCACTATTCTAGTAACTTTAAATATAATACGATCAGTACATATTAGAAAATCTCATTGTTCTGATAGGAAAGATTACAGCCAATCGTTGAAAAACACCGACGAAATCAATCTAATCAGCTATCTTTTTGAAACAACAATGTTTTATATTTAAATAATGCCTACAAACTATGTTTTAGTAAATTGGAAACAAAATCATATCACCAAGCTTATAATTTATGCATCTAAATATATCTGTTTTTCGGAGGTATAGCTACGTATAACTGTTATTGTCGCGTTAAATATTGTACAAAATAATTAGCAATCCGGTTGATTGAAGCTCCTAGATTTTGCATAAGATAATATATTAATCGTCATAGTAACTAATACTTTTTAAATATTCTTTGAAAAGAAAATAAACTTGACCTACCTCATGATTTGATTCGGGAAATATTCAAAAAATATATATTTACAGAAAATCACTTTAAAATTAAAATTTAGAGGTTTTACATTGGAATTCCCCTTTAAAATAAATCTGGTAATGTTGTAACGAATTAGGTAGCTTGTTTACTTGAATAGTTTTAGACCAATAGTAGTTTTCCTTTCATTATGTTTTTTTCGTGGTTTATTCTGAAAGAATACATAGCATTCCGTGATTAAAAGTTAGAACAAAGATTTGTGTGATTGGACTACGTGAATAATGTCATAACGAATGAGCTGAATAGAGTCATTTTGTTTTTCGTTTGAAAATTGACTTACACTGTTTTAAAAAAGACATTCAGTGATTTGTACTTTCCAAGCAATAGGGCTTATTTTTCCTTCTAATTCATATAAATGTGATACAACATGAAATTTTGCTTTGTTTCAAGTTGCACTTTTCAACCCAATGGGTTAAGAGTTTGCGTGCGAGACTGAAGGCGCTAGGTTTGAATTCCGCGAGCGTGATCGTAGATGCGCACTGCTGAGGAGTCCCACAATTTGACGAAACGGCCGTTCAGTGCTTCCAGGTTTCCAATAGTGGTCTAAAATCAATCGGTTCATGATCTCAATCAAAAACTTAGTAATCTCCACAACCTCTATACTGATAAAGTTCAATATCTCTTTGAATTAAAGTGATTATGTAATCCATGTAATTTTCGTAAATGTGTAATAATCTAAGATAATAAATACTTTTCAAAAATGTTGAACACAATAACACTTATTTTTCACAAGTGAATATAGATAAAACAACTAATTATTTATAAATTCAGCTATTTAAATAAACAATAATATCGGTTTGCATCGGGATTTTATTGTCACATATCTAGTTGAAACCTGGAGTACCTTATTTTGATATAGTTAAACAAGCTATTTGTTTGTCAGGAAATAAAAAATAAAAAATTTTTGTGTGGCTTTTTAGCAGATTTATTCCGCGAAATGACCAGTAAACTTGGGTTCGTGAATCAGAGAAAGTTTGTGTCTATCGACGACAAGTGACTTCGTAGTGTACGGTGTCATTATATACCTAACTTTTAATTTACATGATTCTAGTGTACTTCATTATCTGAAAAAATATCATTTCACAATAAATAAGAACAAGTCAAGTTTCCAAACTGTTTTGTCAGAGAATTCGATACTTTTCAGAAATATTTATCTGAATCCTAAAATTGAGAAAATTAAGAAAATGACCTTCAATAGTCTTAGCAATAGGGTGTTAATATATACAGTAATCATTGTTAGATTTTAGGAATCAAACATATTTGAATGAATGGTTCATGAACGGACACACACATATTAAAAATGAAATTTGGGATTTATTGGATATTATGACTTGGCAAGTTCACTTTAGTCTAAATAAACATGTTTCATAAAAAATGTATCATTCATTACTATTGAACAATATCTCAAAGATTGACTTTTATTAAAATAATACGGGAAACGCTGCAGTGCTTTACAATTGTGCAAATCTAAGATAGTTACTTCTAAAAATATATGTACCACATATATATGAGTGTAGGAGCTCCTTTCATACGGATATCGGAAAGAATGGCACTAACGATTGACTTACTGGCCTCTTCTTAATTATTTCCTACCTATATGTGAACACATAAAACTGAACTATTATTTTTATTACTATAATGACAGTAGTCACAATGCAATATTTCTCCTATTGTTTTCATACGACTTTAATTTATTGATAGGAACTTATCAGAAAGGGTGTTCTTTTCCTACAACCTCTTATACATTCTATAAACTTTGGTAACAACCTATTTGTAAGTATTTTATATATATCGACATAACTTTCACCATTATCAACACAAATTATTTAAGCCATGGCTTTGACATGTAACCAGTAATAGGCGTAACATAATATTTGCAAATGTATAATTCCTGAGACTAAAGGAAACGTTGTTGGAGATAACTATTCGATCAAATATTAACTGTTTTTGGGATAATTTATGATGAGTATCGGGATACGAAAACATTTATGTGATCCAAATAACTTGAATTCATTTGAAAACAACTAGAAAAACATCATTACATTTTCTTAGATGCCCAAGGAAAATTATATAACTGAAAAATTTTAATATTCAGATTATTAATCATTATTATTTATAACAAGCCAACTAGAAACCATGCCAATTTCGAAGAAACACAAAGATTTGCTTGTTTATCAGGCGATTATTTCAAGCAGCTCCTATCATTCGGAAATAAAATTGAGAAATTTTGAATTTACGAAAAAAATACTTTTTATAGTACGAGAACAACTCTGAATGCAATAACATACATTGTAAGTCGCCCGTTCTCATAACGCATATTAGACATCTCCAAAACTTCGAATTTGCAATCCGATTTCAAAAATCAGGATATTCCAACAATAAGTTACCGATTGTTTTTGTACATGTTAAATATATAAAATTGTAGACACAAACTAGCTCAAATAAACTTTAGTTCTTGTAAGAATCTAATAACAAATTAGTTAACAATTGCTAGTTAATATAATCTACGGATGTTTAAATTATTAAAATGATGTCAGATTTAAAATAGACACAAAATGAAATAAGTTACCTTTTAAAACTTAATCAAAGTAATTGAGAAATAGGTATAAATATCAGAAGGGGTTTTCTGGACATTGTAGTAATTTCAACAGTTGAGATCACGAGTCAATTGAAGCTAGATCACTATGAAAAACCCGGAGGCACTGGACGGCCATTTCGTACTATTGTGGGACTCCTCAGCAGTGCGCATCCACGAGCCTCCCCCGCGGGATTCGAACCCAAGGTCTATCAGCCTCGCGCCAAGCGCTTAACCAACTAGACCACTGAGTCGGCATTCAACGGTGTTAGTGTATAGCTTCAACCAATCCACGAATTTGAGCGACACATTCACCATTGTCATCAGTGAGTTGCTACCTCACAACTGACCCGCTTGAAGTCCACTGGTCCCTGCTTCTCAATAGAACTCCAGGATATCCTTCTTCAAGCCAGTCACTAGTGAGCATATGTTAATTGGCACCAGAAGCGGTTTTGTGGAGATTGTAGTAATTTCAACAGTTGAGATCATGAACCAATTGGAAAAACGGATCATCAAATTAACAGTGAAAAATTGAGTAACATAATAATATTGCTGGAGTACCATTTTAATATACATTTAATCATTAATCTTAAAAATATAACATTTTTGAATCTGTAAATCGAGAGTCTGTTGACTTCTTTCGAATTGTGCGTAAGCGATAACAAAATTCTCTATAAATCCCCCCTTGATTTCATACTACCCGACAAATGGTGGATCAGGAGTGTTTACGATGTTGAGTTCTCTGAAGATTTCGGGAGTGTACCATAAAGCATTAATAGTTGACATGACAGTGAAATGACTAGTCAGTGTTTGCCGCTTTTAGGTGACAAATTTTAGAATATTAGCTTTTTATGAGACTGTTAACATAGCCCAATCGTAGTTCTTGTTAATCACCATAACTACAACAAATATAATTTTTAAAAAAGAACGAACGGAGCTGAGGAATTTCTCAGTAAGGAAAATACAAAGATTAGGTTAATAGGAAAAGGCATTTTCTGTAGACAAAGTTAGGATCGGATTTTAAAATATAAGCTCAGAGCATTTCTTCCTTAAGTAAACGATTAATACTTTGCGCTCAGAATGTGCTAGAGTGGTTTTAGATAACTTTCAAGTGTAAATGTCTCAACGGATCTGGGTGAATTCCATGGTCTATATGTGAATACTTGAACGATGTAAGTGCATCAAGAGAACAAGACTAAAGATTTTTCTCCAATATTTATAATTTTGACTGACACGAATTCGTTTCACCACATATTGAAATGAGAGCTACCACAACAATACCCAATGAACTCCTTCATGAACCACAGAAATCCATAATTGAAAGCTAAATTACAATGATGATTAATAATTTTTTGAGTTTTAAGTGTTGGAAAACACCTAGTTACAGTCGAACATTCGGCTTAACAATTACATGATGGAGTTCCTTTGAAATATTTCCTATGCAACACAAGTCACTCGTCCTGATAACGGTTATTTAACAACTTTGTGAAAAACGAAGTGACATTGTATAATTTAGCAGGGCGACCATCAAACGTCTCTAATCTTGATTTTTTGAGCCAGCTCTTTTGAAATTCATTGACAACTGAACCTATAGCAATTCACCAGTTCAACCCTAATCTCTGAGTACAAAAGAGTCATATTCACTCCCTTAGCTTTAACACCCTTCCCCATTTTATAATTCGTGAGTGCCAATTAATGTCGTATTCTCCACCTTTTTCTTGGTAAAGTAGATAGCTATCCTTCATATTTTTCCTAATTAACTATTATTTCTGAATACCACTTCTAAGACTAACTGACCTCACCTAATCTGATCTAACCAATCCTAACCTAAACTTTTGGTTATGTTTTGAATTCTTTGTTAACTGATGCAACGCCTTTATTTTATTCAATGCGTGAAAACTTTTGATTATTTTAATCAATTTGTTGGACGATACAATAAGATTCCATTTTTTATGGACTCTCTCACTAAATAGATATTCGGCCACCGGAACATTTTCATGATTCTTCCATGTTTTGCTAACATTATTCTACTAATCTTCAATAATAAGATGTAAAATATGTCCACTGTTGTTTTGTAAACAACAACCAGACATGTCTTCAGAATGTAAGCAACTAAAGCGAAACCACGGAAATAAACGGATTCACGCTATTCTGTTACGTTCTTTGTTCCTGCTCTTTCTAGGTGCACCGACGTAGCTTGTTTTGTAGAATATCTATTCCAGGTTGAGTGATACAACCGTAAGCAAAAATATGGATAAACTACATAGCCTTTAGTTTAAACCCTGGGGTAGACGTTGACATCATTGATTTCCTGTCTTGACTGGTGTTCATCGAAATTATTACAGAAAAAATAATCACTGTTTACTCCAGCGATAATCATCCGAGATACAAATGTATTTGGAAAGCTAGTCGTGAAAATTGCATTTCTATGCAACGCTTCTTAAATATAACAGGGCAAATGTTCGAGAGAACTGGAGGGATCTTCTTGATACTTCCATCTTATAA